AATTCCTACACTAATAAAAAATGGTGTCCAAAACAAATTTCGTACGTTTTTCATAATAGTTGGAGATAAAGGCAAAGATCAGGTATTTTTTTTAAATTAATAATGTAAAAATAAACAATGATAAACAATATTAATTGAAACTTACTTTGAAAGGTTGTAAATTTACATTGGTTATTATCACAAGCTCAAGTAACTGCAAGACCATCAGTTTTATGGTGTTATAAAAAAGAATTAGGCTTTAGTAGGCATGTGATTTTTTTTACAATTAAATATATTTTTTAATATGGTTCTAATAAATCGATTATTCGTTTGTTGAATTAGTCATCGTAAAAAAAGAGAGGCTAAAATAAAAAAAGAAATTAAACGTGGCATAAGAGAACTTAATACGGAAGATCCATTTGAACTTTTTATTTCAGTTACAAATATTCGATACACTTATTACAAAGAAACTCATAAGATATTAGGAAACACATATGGAATGTGCGTTTTGCAGGTAATTGGACTTTGATTGGTTGATTGATTGATTGATTTGCTTACTTTTTAATAATCTATACAATTATCCCGATAGGATTTCGAAGCATTAACACCAAATTTATTGGCACGAACAATTGAGACTGTAGAAGGTGGCGGAATTATAGTATTGTTATTAAAAACGATGAGATCACTTAAACAATTATATACATTGACAATGGTAGCTATTTATATTCTTTTTATTATTTATCATAATTTAATAATGGTTGTTATTGTTATTATGCTTGATTTCAGGATGTCCATTCACGATATAGAACAGAATCTCATGACGATGTAATAGCAAGATTTAATGAAAGATTTATACTTTCTCTCGGATCATGTGAAAATTGTCTTGTAGTTGATGACGAATTAAATGTTTTACCGATTTCAGCGGGTAAAAATGTAAAACCTATCCCGGCAAAACTAAGCGAAGAATCATTAGCAGAGCAACAAGTAGAATTAAAAGAATTAAAAAATTCTTTAATAGACACTCAACCAATTGGTTGCTTGGTTAATACAGCAAAAACTTTGGATCAAGCAAAAGCGATATTGACATTTATAGAGGCAATATCTGAAAAAACATTAAAAACCACAATTACATTAACAGCCTCTCGCGGTCGTGGTAAATCTGCTGCACTTGGTGTCGCAATTGCTTCTGCTATTGCTTCTGGATATTCAAATATATTTGTGACTTCTCCAAGTCCTGAAAATTTAAAAACCCTATTTGAATTTATTTTCAAAGGATTTGATGCTTTAGAATATGAGGAACATTTAGATTACGATATTATTCAATCTACAAATCCTGATTTTAATAAAGCAATAGTCCGAGTTAATGTATTTAAACAACATCGTCAAATTATACAAGTAATATCCCAACAAAATTTTTAATATATATTTATGTTAATATATTTTATATAATTATTGATATAATATACTTGCATATATTAGTATATTCAACCACAAGATTTTCACGTTTTAGGTCAGGCTGAAATTGTTGTGATAGACGAAGCAGCAGCTATTCCTTTACCATTCGTTAAAAATCTATTAGGACCATATTTGATATTTATGGCATCAACCATTAATGGTTATGAGGGTACGGGAAGATCTTTATCTTTAAAACTTATACAACAGTTGCGTGAACAATCAAAAGGTTTTATAGGAAAAGGAAACAATAGGCCTAATATTAATGAAGATTTGACAATTGTGAGAAGAGACGGAAAATCCAAATCAAGTCAACAAACAGGTGTTTTGGATGGTGTTTCAGCTGGTGGTAGAATTTTACGCGAAATTAAATTAGATGAACCTATTCGTTATGCACCAAATGATTCAGTTGAAAAATGGCTCAATAAACTCTTGTGTTTGGACGCCACTATTATTTCTAAAAATATTCAAGGCTGTCCTCACCCTCAGCAATGTGATTTATATTATGTTAATAGAGATACTTTATTTTCATTTCACCCTGTATCCGAAACTTTCTTACAAAGAATGATGGCGCTTTATGTTGCTAGTCATTATAAAAATTCACCGAATGACTTACAATTAATGTCAGATGCTCCAGCACATCATTTGTTTGTTTTATTGCCTCCTTTAAAAGAAGGAAATGCCTCATTGCCCGATCCTTTGTGTGTTATACAAGTTAGTAATTGAAACAATATATTTAAAAGGAAAAATTTATTATTATTATTATTATTTATAGTTTTTGTATCTATAAAGGTTTGTCTTGAAGGCGAAATATCTAAACAATCTATTCTGAATAGCTTAAGTAAAGGTCAACGTGCTAGTGGAGATTTAATACCTTGGCTTGTTTCTCAACAGGTTTTTTTTTAATTTTTATTTATATACATACTCATATTAATGATTAATCTTTAGTCTTTAAAATTTTTTTAAAATTTAATAAATAGTTTCAAGATAATGATTTTGCAAGTTTATCTGGCGCCAGAATCGTCAGAATCGCAACGCATCCTGATTACATTAAGGTACCACTACTACTAATTAAGAATATCTTGTAGAAATAATATAAGATGTAAAGATCTCTTCTTGTTTGAACTGAAATTTTTAGATGGGTTACGGTTCAAGGAGTATAGAATTATTGACATCATTTTATCAAGGTGAATTTGCCTCTTTGAATGAAAATGACGGGTATCAACAAGAAGATATTGTAAGAGTGAATGATGTGGAATTAGAAGTAATTATTCTCATATAATTAATTAATCAATTGATAGTTTGATCAGTGATTTATTTTAAATATTTTTATATATTATATGTACATATAGAATGACAATTTACACAACGAAGAAATTAAAATACGAGATCCATGTAAAATGCCACCGTTATTTCTGAAACTTTCAGAAAAACGGCCTATTAGATTGGACTATTTGGGTGTTTCTTATGGTTTGACTCCTGCTTTACATAAATTTTGGAAACGAGCCGGGTTTGTGCCACTCTATCTTAGGCAAACTCCTAACGATTTAACCGGTGAATACACGTGTGTAATGTTAAAAGCGCTTAAAAATGATAATAATGATAACCAAGACTTTGCAACTTGTAATCCAAGTTGGTTGGCTGAATTTTCAAAAGATTTTTACAAAAGATTTTTGAATTTATTATCATATCAGTTTCGTGATTTCACAAGTATACTTGCATTGAGTATTATGGAAGCTATTGATATTTCTGGCGGTAATATTGATGCTGATAATAGAGAATGTAGGTGTCCCAAAAAATTGTGATTGTAATTGATTAAATAATTATTATTTGTATTAATTGTTTGTTGATTTATTTATTTAGTGTTTGATAAAAAGTCTCTCGATAATTATTTTTCGGCTTATGATCTTAAACGTTTAGAATCATATTCAAGTAACATGTTAGATTATCATGTCATTATTGACTTGCTTCCTACTATTTCGAATTTATATTTTGGACGCAAATTAAGTAAAGAAATTAAGCTTTCTGGTGTCCAAAGCTCAATATTATTAGGCATAGGACTGCAAAGAAAAAGTATAGATAATCTAGAGGTATGAAAAAATCAAATTGAATATGAATTAACTAATTATAAAAATTGAATTTATTAATATTTATTATATATTCGCGTGTTTATATTGTTAGAAAGAATTATCATTACCATCGAGTCAAATCTTGGCTCTTTTTATAAAGATTATTAGAAAATTTTCTTTGCATTTTCGATCATTAGGAACAACAGAAATACAAAAAGAAATTCCAGATGAAACCACTATAATAAAGAAAAAAGTCATAAAGAACAACAAAAACGATGAAAATAATAATGCTGATGATCATCAAGAAGAGGGTAGCAAAGATGAAGATCATCAGGATAATGATTCATCGTGGGATCCTATCCAAAAAACTTTGGATGAAGACTTAAAAGAAGCGGGTAATGAAGTCATGAATCAAATGGTTGAAAAACAAAGAGAATTGATTAATTCATTGGATTTATCAAAGTGATTTATCGTTATCATTTTATATAGGTTTTTTTATTTTCTAACAAATCTTAATTCATATATATGTATATACATTTATTTATATGTTTATATGTTCTCTAATTTCAGATACGCAATAACAGAACCATCTGAAGGTTGGGATACGGCAGAATCTGTAATTGCGACAGGGAAAAAGAATGTATCTACAATTGTTAGTGTAAAGAATATGAAATCTACAAAAAAACGTAAACATTCCGAAACAGCAATGGAAATTATGAAAAAAGAACTGACTAAACAAAATAGTAAAACTAAAGGGAAAAAATCAAAAAAATTTAAAAAAAATTAATACATAAAAATCTTTATTTAAGTTAAAATTATACCTTAATCTTAATTAAATAAAAATATTATTTAATATATTATTACTAAAACAGTTTAGTTAATATACATTACAATAAATACAAATTAAATTATAATTTCAATTATTTTTTTTTAATTTAGCAGCCTTCTATTTAATTATTAGGTGATAAAATCTGTATTGCTTTGTTAAGGTCATAATCACTATCCTCAAGTGCCTTTATAACCTTCTCTCTTGGAAACCCCATTTCTTTTAAAGTTTTTACATCTTCTATATCATCATCATCATTATCAATGGTGGTGGCAGTAGCTGTAGGAGGTTTGAAATTTGAATTGGATGATGATAATGAAGGTGTATTAGATTTGGCATTTTCAGAATCAAAAGACAAATTTGTTTGTGTTTTTTGTATTTCATTTCCTTTCAAAAAATCTCCAAAAGCATCTTCAAATTCATGATTATTTTCAGCTTTTGCTTCCTCAAAAGTGCCTCCGAACGCAGCATCTAAAACTGTAGTGTTTGGCTTTATTGATTTATTACTATTGTTTGAAGCTAAAGGATCAAAAAATGAAAATCCATTATCTGAAGCAAATAAATCAAATGTTGATGATGATGATGTATTAGCATTGCTACTAATTTTATTATTATCATCGTTATTATTATTATAATTACTATTAATATTATTGTTGTTGTTGCTATTAATAATATTATTTTTGAAAGATATTGATTTGGGACGTTTCGTCTTTTGGATCAGTAAACAAATTATTTTCTTTTTTATCTGAATTAAAATCATTTTCGAATTTAAAATCATTTTCGAATGCAAATGTTAAGCCTTCAAGTTCCTCTAACGATGGAAATTTCTCGGAATTAAAAGTGTCAGTTAAGAATGGATCATCGTCAGTCTTATTTGTAGCTTCAAGTGTCGCAAATGCAGAATCAAAAGCAGATTTGTCTGATGTTGGCTTTTTAAAATTATTAGAATTAAATGGATCAACAGTTGAAGTTGCGCCATTTTCAATGGGAGGTTGTTGAAATATATTTTCATTTTGTTCATTAGAAAAATCTGCAGATTCTTTTTCCGGTTCATTAAATATTGATTGAAAAATATCGGAGGAATTATTATTTGATGGAGTTGGCGTTATTGTTGATGGTGTAGAAACAAAAACATTATCGATATCAGGTGAATTATTACTACTTTTTTCAAAATTTTTTAAGGTCTCTAATGATTTTTCTCTTTCAGCCTCGACAGTCGCTAATTGCTTTTTATTAATTTCAAGTAAACCTTTTTGTTGTCTATTTTCTTTCTGAATTTTTTCAATTTCGGCTTTAATCGATACTGTTTCTTCTTCAACTAATCTCATTTTCTTT